CTATCTATCTATCTATCTATCTATCTATCTATCTATCTATCTATCTATCTATCTATCTATCTATCTATCTATCTATCTATCTTCCACATTAAGTGCAGTCATTTGCCAGTGGAATAAAACAATGGCACTTGGTAAGACTTCTTGAAATAAGGAAAATTTCCAGGCTGACAAGATTAATATTCTAACCCATTCTGCTCTTGTTTAGTATATAAATCTCAAAAAACATCAAAAATAATTTTTGGCTGGATATTAGATTGTAAGACTTTGACAATCTTTGCAGCGTAAGAAATAATAAAAGGTGTTGTTGACAGAGAGTAAGGCATAAGAAATAAACAGTAACGATGTCTTTCTAAATAGAATCATTTTTCTTCATTCGTTTGGTTGTGTATGTTGTAAATGCTACATAAAACATAATTTAGAAAAGATAATTTGCATTTCTGTAAGAATAATTTGTCATATAACATTTTTTCAATAAATATTGACAGAAATTGGCCCTTGGCTTGTATGAAATTTTAATATTTGGCCACTTTGTGTAATTGAGTTTGACACCCTGACAGAAGATACCTTATATTGAATGCAAGAAATACCAACTCTTTTTAATAATTGCTTTTTCATTTAGAAGTTTAATTTTTACATATGGTTTAACTTTTTTATTTTTCTGCATATTTTATTTAGAAACAATATATTTATATTTGTGTACTATTCTTCTAGCTGATGATTACATGTGCGTGCGTAACTTAAAATTTTCCATTTTGATCAAATAAAGTTACTCAGATTGACACTGCCCTTCATATATAATGTTCCAAATTATGCTGGTTATTACTGAGCTGTCAAAGTAAAGGGTGGAACGCAACGGTGGTGCAGAGCTGTCGCCTCTCAGGTTAACTATTGACTCTCAGTTGTCGTTAGGCATGAGTGGTTGTTTATCTTGATTATCTCTTTGCATTCCTGTGATGTAACATGCTCAGGGTGTAAACAAGCACAAATGACCCCATGTCCAGAAAAGGAAAAGAAGGTAAAGATAATGCATAGATATCAATGTGTTTGTATAAGGTCCAATATTTATTCGCACAATTAAAATTTAATTGTGTTCAAAATGTAATGAAGACAACTGCTGTGAAATAAGTAAGTAAGTAAGTAAGTAAGTAAGTAAGTAAGTAAGTAAGTAAGTAAGTAAGTAAGTAAGTAAGTAAGTAAGTAAGTAAGTAAGTAAGTAA